TTTTCGATTAAAGTATACAAAAGGAATTTTAGATAATAATCTTAAAATTTCTACAATTATATAACTAAATATATCCGTGATGAAATATGTGAGCTTTTTTCTTAAAACTATGTCCACCTCTAATCCGTATCTCTAACTAAGAATGTGGGGAAGAAACGGGAATTGCTAAGGGGTAGTTATTCAGGAAGCCGTGTGTTCCTTTATTTGTTTTCTTCTTCTTTTGTCCCTTTTATTATTTTGGTATTAAAAATATAAATTTAAATATTAGCTAGTTATTTTCAGAATAATAAAATAAAATAAAAACTAAATCAAAGAATTTTGCATTGAGTTAAAAGGTTGCTTTATTATATATAGATGTAAATTTAATACATATATACGAATATTAAGTATTATAGATGACATTATAAGACCTGAAATAAGTATGTTACTTCACTTCATTTGGTAAATTAATTTTTTTATTTTGAAAATGAATATCTAAATCTAAAACAAAATAGTTCCACAAAATTGATTATTTTGTAGGTGAATTATTAAATTAATTAAAAGATTTCAAGAAGCATGTCATTTATACAAACATTATGAGATATATCACATGAATTAAAAGAGAATAGAAATATACTTTTTAATTGACTCATAGATGAAATTCTGATAAACTTATCCACTTGAAATGACATATAATGCTAGTAATTTTATTGGCGAGAAAGAATTTGTGATTATGCTGTAATCATTTAAAATTTATTTAATTATAAATTTATTAAAATGATTCGGATTATATTAAATTCATTAATATATTAGTCCAAATAAATATTATGGATTAATATAATTGAATTAATTATTTAAATTCAATAAATATGAATTTAATTAAAGTCCGCTCCATAAAGTCCATATGTTATGTCACTTAAATCTGATTGGCTGAAGAGAACCCTATTCCAATCACAACTCCCCTATTCTAAAACTATAAATAGGGGTCCTCATAATTCAGAAAAGAGGACCAAGAATTTGAACAAGAAGCTAGAGAAAGCTCGTGGATCAAAAGACGCAATTTCTCTACAAGTTCAAGAACTGAAGAATTCAAGTGTTCAAGTTCAAGATTTGAAGAGGTCAAGATCAAGTTCAAGAACGATCAAGATCAAGACCGTCGGATACAAGATCAAGCTCGAAGCCCTTGAATTCAACTAGAAAGTCAAGATCAAGATAAAGTTCAAGTCAAGATCAAGATCAAGAGAGAGATCAAGATCAAGATAAATCCCAAGTTCAAGATCAAGCTCAAGAGCCCTTGAATTATATTTGAAAAAGCGAATTCAGAAGAATTATAGAGATTGTAACACTCGCACTTAAATCAATAAAACGATTGTTGCATAATTTTTCCTTCTTGATTATTATTTTCTGGATGCAAATTTTATTATCTACAAATTCTGGCACGCCCAGTGGGACAATTTCTACCTCTCATCTCAACTTTTCAAGCATCAAAGAATATCGAGATGACTTCCGTGAAGAACAACTCTCGATCAACTGCCTCTACGACCACTAGCTCCAAGTTCTCTACTGAAGTTGAAGGCATTTTGGGTGTTACCTTTGGAAGTTTCGGAGCTGTTACGAGATGCAAGGCTGCTACACAAAGACAACAAACACTTCAAGTGTCACCCGCATCAACTCTAGTTTTTGGGTCTACGACTCCAAAAATATCAAGTTCCTCCGCAAATGCTTTAGAAGAAGGAAGCAGTGTTGCTGAAAAGATGAAGAAGACATTGGCTCTCCTTGAGCTATCTGGTTCCAAGAACTCTACCACAAGGGAGAGCTATGATTCAACGAATGAGTCACCTCCATGTGCATCCCGTAATGTGAGTCCGCTGAAGATCAATGTACGCGATAATCCATGCTACTCTCCTACATCTCCAATGATCATGCAAACAATGGTGGCTGTTACTTCTTCCTCTAAGGAATAACTCACAAATCTAACGAAGTTGGTTGAAGGATTGACAAAGCATGTACAACACCAAGAGTCTAGAATCGATAAGTTGATGGATCGAATGGAAGGAATTTTAGATGGAGAAGCGAGTCATGTGCCCGGAAAATGTGTTGAAGTTCAAGAGACTGGAGATCCTGCGAAGAAAGCACCGCTTGTTAGTGAGATACCAGTTTCTTCTGAATGAATGATCCCACTCGATCGCTTGAAGGAGTTCATTGAAGGCACCATCAAAGATAAGTATGAAGTCTCCACCAAGTCTTATCATATGTATGCCAAGCCATACACGACAAGAATTGATAACTTAAAAATGCATATTGGTTATCAACCTCCCAAATTTCAACAATTTGAGTGTAGAGGAAATACAAAGTAATATGTTGCACACTTTGTGGAGACATGTAATAATGCTGGAACATATGGAGACTATCTTGTCAAGCAGTTTGTCCGGTCTCTAAAAGGAAATGCCTTTGATTGGTACACGGATCTTGAGCCCAATTCAATTGATAGTTGGGAGCAACTAGAGCACAAGTTTCTCAATCGATTCTATAGCACGAGGCGTACTGTGAGCATGGTAGAACTTATGAATACTCCCAAAGGAAGGATGAACCAGCCATAGACTTCATAAATCAATGGAGGAACGCGAGCCTGAATTACAAGGATAGGCTTAGTGAAGCTTCTGCAATAGAAATGTGTATCCAAGGGATGCACTGGGAGCTTCTTTATATCTTACAGGGAATAAAACCAAAATCCTTTGAAGATCTAGCTACTCGCGCTCATGATATGGAGTTGAGCATGTCCTCTGCCGGAAAGGATATGACGTTTGTCCATAACCCTCACAAAGGAAGAGACAAGCAGGAACCTAAGAGATGGAGCAAATTTGTGCCCAAGAACGACAACAAAGAGTCAATGAATGTTAATGTGTCGCCTGTGAAGTTCACTACGAAGGAAGGGAAGAAGCAAAGTGTGAGAACGAATTTCCAAGCGCATTTAGACCAAAAATTGATCCTAAGGAAAATGCAAGAAAAGGAATGCCCCTTCTTGGATTCTGACGTTTCTGATATTTTTGATGAGTTGCTTGAATTAAAGCTCATTGAGATGCAAAAGATGAAGCAACTTGTTGAAGCTGGAAAAGCTGATGACCCAAATTATTGCAAGTATCATAGACTTGTGAGTCATCCTCTTGAAAAATGTTTTGTCTTCAAGGATAGAGTGATGCGATTGGTTAGAGAAAAAAAGATTGTCCTTGATGATGAGAAAGCTAGTTCTAATCAAATCTCCATCACATTCGGCTCACTCAATCCGATCCAAATATGTATCGCAGAAAAGCATGAAGAAGAATCATTAGAGCTAGACAAATCTCAAGTTGAAATAGATGGTGATGAAGGCTGGATTCTTGTGACTAGGCGAAGACGCAACAAATCAAGTTTACAAAAAGAATCATGTGAGAAACCGATTAGAAAGAAGATGGTGAAGAAACTGGTGAAACAGAAATCAATAAAGCGCCCAAAGAAGGCAAAGGTAGAAGTGCATCACTACCAGAAACCCCGACATCATGTAACTCTACAAGAATTCTTACCAAGTTGGTTGCGCACAAAGTCTACTCAAGAAAATGTCGAGGCATCATGTTTTAATGTTGATAAAGAAGAAACAATGAAGATGTCTTCAACTGACAAAGAAGGAACAACGAGAGAATCCTCACCAAAAGTGTCTCCTAGTGGCGAAGAAAAAGCAACAAGGGAAATCTCGTCAATGATGTCTCTTTCATCTTCTAAAAAGCCTATTGAACCTTCTTCCCAAGAAGCACATACATGTGATACAAAAATCACATTCACAGATAATGATCTTCTATTTGGTGAAACACTACACAATTGTCATTTGTATATGGTTGGTCACGTGCTAGAGAAGAAGATAAATAGAATCTTGATAGATGAAGGATCTGGAGTCAACATTCTGCCTATCCACACATTGAAGGAACTCAGCATCATGACCGAAGAACTTAGTGAAAGTCGTTTGTTGATACAAGGATTCAATCAAGGAGGACAGAGGTCCATAGGCTCCATTAAATTAGAAATTCACATGGAAGATTTGCGATCAAACGCATGGATGCGCGTGATCGATGCAAAGACTTCATCCAATATATTACTTGGCAGGCCTTGGGTACACGAGAATAGAATTGTCTCATCTTCTTACTATCAATGTTTGAAGTATCTTGAAGACGGGATTGAAAGGAAGATAGTTGCAGATGATAATCCTTTCACCGAAGTTGAGACGTACTTTGCCGATGCAAAATTCTATTTGAAGAGTTATGTTGTTAAAGGGACAAAATCTAATGATGTCAAATCAACCAAGTCTAACAAGATCACAAGAAAAAGAATCGATACGGCTGTCGGAAAGGCAAAAGATGACACTAAAGAACTTTGTCCTAATTTCAATGAAGGGAAGACCATGTCTTCAAAGAAGAATTTGACTTCTGGACTTCGCTATGTTCCAAAAGTAAAGAAAGAAGAAGTCAAATCATCTAACCTTCAAGAAGATGCATTAAGAGGACTAACTCTTCCTATTAGATGGATTGATGCAATAAACTTGCTTTCAAAACTGCCAGGAAAGACAATCACTCAAAATCAAGTGCGAGATGTGGCACTCCCTACAAAACGCACGGGAGAAGGTTTTGATACTAATGCTTACAAGTTATTTGCGAAGGCTGGATATAACCCTAATGAGCCATCAATGTTAGGGAAACTCCCATCAGTTGATAAAACCAGGCAAGCGCGTAAAGGCCTATGCTATAACCAACCACCACCAGTTCGCATCTCCATATCATATAACTTTTGAAGATGATGTCACTGTTCCCAATAGAAAGCCTTCCATTTTTTATCGACTTGGAGAATCGACTGTAAGAACTTCTGTGTTCGAGAGATTAGGTCCATTGAAGAAGAGAAACAATAAGCATCAGAGAAGTTATCTGAAAGTGACAACGAAAGTGTAAGGCTCCTCATATCATGTTACAATCCAGAATGAGCACGATTATTTGCCTCAAATGAAGATTGATGAAGAGTTAGAAGATATTGTCTGGTGTTGTCATATATCTGTCAATGGCAATGACCCTCTAGAAGAGGAAGATGCCGGAGATGCTCCACCAGAACTTGAAGAAAGAGTGAAGACCACAATAGATCCCTTAAAGGAAGTTAACCTTGGCATTGATGAAGACCCAAGGCCTACTTACTTGAGTTCCTTTCTAGAAGTTGATGAAGAAATCACTTATATGAATATACTCAAAGAATATAGGGACGTCTTCGCTTGGAGTTATAAAGAATGTTTGGCTTGAATCCTAAAGTAGCAGTCCATTAGTTGGCAGTCAAAAATGGTGCTCGTCCTATTAAGCAAGCCCAAAGACGTTTTAGGCCAGACTTGGTTCCATTGATAGAGAATGAAGCCAACAAACTCATCGAGGTAGGATTCATTCGTGAAGTTAAATATCCTACATGGATTTCAAGTGTTGTTCCTGTAAGGAAGAAGAATGGCCAAATTTGAGTTTGTGTTGACTTCAATGATCTCAATAATGCATGTCCTAAAGATGAGTTCCCTTTTCCCATTCCTGAGCTAATGATTGATGCCACCACTAGTTATGAGACGATGTCATTCATGGACGATTCTTCTGGCTATAATCAAATCCGCATGGCACCAAAGGATGAAGAACTCACTGCATTTCGCACGCCTAAAGGTATTTATTGCTACAAAGTGATGCATTTTAGTTTGAAGAATGTTGGTGCTACATTTCAAAGGGCTATGCAAAATATATTTGATGACTTGTTCCATAAAAATGTTGAATGTTATGTGGATGACCTGGTGGTAAAGTCGAGAAAGAGAAGTGATCATTTGAAAGACTTAAGAATGGTGTTTGAGCTGCTTCGAAGATATCAACTAAGGATGAATCCATTGAAATGTGCCTTCGGAGTTACTTCTGGAAAGTTCCTTGGCTTTATTGTGAGACATCGAGGAATTAAAATGGATCAAGCCAAAGTTGATGCAATATCGAAGATGCCTGAGCCACGAAATATTCATGAGCTAATAAGTTTCCAAGGAAAGCTAGCCTACTTGAGGAGGTTCACCTCAAATCAAGCAGGATGATGCCAACCATTCGGTCATCTCATGAAGAAAGGTGCTCCTTTTAATTAGGACGAAACATGTAGTGATGCCTTTAAAAGCATCAAGTCATATCTAGCGAAACCTCCAGTTTTGGCAGCCCCTATACCTAGAAAGCCATTGATACTCTACAGTGCGGCACAAGAAAGATCCGTAGGAGCCCTGTTAGCTCAAGAGTATAGTGAAGGCAAAGAAAACTTTCTTTACTACTTCAGTAGAACGATGACACCAAATGAGCTGAACTATTCGCCAATTGAAAAATTGTGCTTGGCGCTAGTCTTCTCCATTCAAAAGATGAAGCATTATTTTCAAGCCCATGTTATTCGTCTTATTTCTAGAGAAAATCCCATCAAGTTTGTTATGTCGAAACCTGTCCTTAGTGACCGACTAGCAAGATGGTACCTCCAATTTCAACAGTTTGAGATCGTGTACATCCCTCAAAAGGCTGTGGAAGGACAACATTGGTGGATTTCTTGGAAGACCATCCGATACCAGATGATTGGGAGTTAACTGATGAGCTTCCTGATGAAGATGCGATGTTAATTGAAGTTCAACCTCCTTGGAAAATGTACATTGATGGAGCTGCACATCGTGGCGGAGCTGGAGCTGGTGTTGGTGCTGGCGTAGTGTTCATCACTTCATAAGAAGAGATCCTACCATTCTCCTTTACTTTGAAGTAATGTTTCTCCAATAATGTTAATGAATACCAGGCGTTGATACTTGGACTTGAGATGGCCGTTGACATGAAGCAATTAAACGTATAAGTCTTTGGTGACTCTCAGTTGATGATCAACCAACTCTTGGGAAGTTATGAGGTGAAGAAGCCCAAATTGCGTCCTTACCATGATTATGCTCAAAAATTGATAGGATGGCTTGGAGATGTAACCTTTCAACATGTGCGTAGAACGGAGAATAAGAAAGCTGATGCATTGGTTGCTCTAGTTTCAACGATAACCCTTCCTGATCAGACACAAGTAACTATTTGTCAAAAATGGATAGTACCACCATCAAATGAAGAAGAATGTATAAAAAATGAGCTTAATCATCTCGTCGCCATTTTTGAAGCTGCGAAGGAAGAGTGGAGACAACCCATTATTGACTACATGTGTTATGGGATACTTCCAGAAGATCCAAGGAGAAGGACTGACATTCGTCGTCGTGCACCTCGCTTCCTTTACTACAAGGACACATTATATAGAAGATCATTTTAGGGTGTACTATTACGATGTTTGGGAGAGGAAGAAGTAATTCAAGCTTTGCAAGAAGCACACTCGGGAGTATGTGGATCACATCAATCTGGACCGAAACTCCATTTTCACATAAAGAGGATGGGGTATTATTGGCCAACCATAGTGAAGGATTGCTTAGATTATGCTCGGAGGTGCGATGCTTGTCAATTTCATGCGAATTTCATACATCAGTCGCTCAAAGTATTGCACCCAACTATTGCATCTTGGCCATTTGACGCTTGGGGATTGGATGTTGTGGGACCACTACCAAAATCTTCTGGTAGACACTTGTACATCTTGGCGGCAATATATTACTTCTCAAAATGGGCTGAAGCTATCGCTCTTAAAGAAGTGAAGAAAGAGAATGTTGCAAATTTTATCCGAGTGAATATCATCTATCGCTTTGGCATCCCTCGCTACATAATAACAGACAATGGCAAGCCATTTGATAACAAGTTAATGAACAAAATTTGTGATCTCTTTGGTTTCAAGCAGTGTAAATCTTCTATGTATCATGTTGCCGCCAATGGTCTCGCTGAAGCATTTAATAAGACTCTATGCAACCTCCTGAAGAAAGTTGACTCCAAGTCCAAACAAGATTGACATGAAAGAATGGAAGAAGCTTTGTGGGCATATAGGACTACGTACCGCACTCAAACTCAAGCGACACCATATTCACTCGCTTTTGGTGTTGAGGCTGTCCTACCACTCGAGTGTCAAATACCTTAGTTAAGACTTGCTATTCAAGAAGGGATCACTGAAGAAGAAATTGCTCGACTGCGTCTTGCTGAGTTAGAAGCACTTGACGAAAAGAGGCTAGAAGCCCAACAAAACCTTGAATGTTATCAAGCTCGTCTATCTCGTGCTTTCAATAAGAAGGTTCGCTTGAGATGCTTCCAAGTTCTCGCGGTAAGAAGACCCATCATTACTTCGCATAAGTCTGGGGGAAAATTTACCTCAAAGTGGGATGGACCATATGTCGTACAAGAAGCATATTCACATAGTGCTTACAAGCTTGTTGATGCATATGGCGTAAGGATCGGTCCTATTAATGCAAAATTCCTAAAGAGGTACTACCTTTAAAGTAAGATGATGCTCCTTAAGGTACGAGCCTAAACTGCATGTCACTCCTGGCATGCAAGAGTATAAACTGTGTACGGCACAACAAAAAAAAAAATCACTCAATCCCCCAGAGCTACGTTGTGACTTGATCCTCTTCACTGAGGTACATAGGCGCTTAGAATATATCCTAAGTTCAGTTGCATGAGTGTCAAAAAACCACATGTTCCCACTTATTTTTCACATGACAGTCAAAGCGATAAGTACTTTGTCTTATCTTTTATCTCATCAAACTTTAGACTTGTACGAAGTATTGATTGATCAATAGATGGGGGCAAACCCTTAAAAAAATATGAGTTTCGTTAACAACATGCTTGAAGTTTCTTTAAAATTGAAGTCTTCAAATCCTCCAAGTATACAAGTTGAAGATTTCAAATCCTCCAAGTATGCAAGGTGAATTCTTCAAATCCTCCAAGTATGCAAGCTGAAGTCTTCAAATCTTCCAACTATGCAAGCTAAAGTCTTCAAATTTTCCAAGTATACAAATTAAAGTCTTCAAAATTCTTCAAGTCTGCAAGTTGAAGTCTTCAAATTCTTCAAAGTCTGCAAGTTGAAGTCTTCAATTCTGCAACTTGAAATCTTTAAAGTTTGAAAGTTGAAATTTTTAAGTCTACAAGTTGAAATCTTCAAATTCTTTAAGTTTGCAAGTTGAAATCTTTAAGTCTACAAGTTGAAGTCCTCAAATTCTTTAAGTCTGCAAGTTGAAGTCTTCAAATTCTTCAAAGTCTGCAAGTTGAAGTCTTCAAATTCTTCAAGTCTGCAAGTTCAAGTTTGCAAGTTGAAGTCTTCAAATTCTTCAAGTCTGCAAGTTGAAGTCTTCAAATTCTTAACAACTCCTAGTTGAACTACAATTTGAACTTGAATGGCATTAGACTTTGAGACGGTGGTTTTATCCTACTACAAATAGTACTATGAACCGTTTCTGATTTCAATTTGATTTCAACATAAATTATACAAAGCATTCAAGTTCTAATTGGAGTCAAATTAGAAGCTGTGTAACTAAGGGACTCCTAATAGGATTCGACGTGTATGACTACTGGAAATTGTTTGTTACTAAAAAAAAAACTAGTGAGCCATTTGATTCCTAGTTGACTTTGGTCATTAAGACCAAAGGATAAAGTCCAAACATTTACGGAAATTAAAGCCCACTCTTAACATGTCTCATGTGACAGTTAATGATGGTTCTGTCCACACGTAGAGAAAATTATGATATTATAATAATAATATTATTGAGTCAATACTTTCTCATAATATTATGATAATTATTACTCCTATAATATTAAGTCAATACTTCAAGTCTAGTCTTCAAATAAAATATTTTGACAAGACTTGAAGCAGCGAGCATTTGTAATCAGTTAAAAATTATTTAAATATAAATTTATTAAAATATTTCGGATTATATTAAATTCATTAATATATTAGTGCAAATAAATATTATGGATTAATATAATTGAATTAATTATTTAAATTCAATAAATATGAATTTAATTAAAGTCCGCTCCATAAAGTCCATATGTTATGTCACTTAAATCTGATTGGCTGAAGAGAACCCTATTCCAATCACAACTCCCCCCATTCTAAAACTATAAATAGGGGTCCTCATAATTCAGAAAAGAGGACCAAGAATTCGAACAAAAAGCTAGAGAAAGCTCGTGGATCAAAAGCCGCAATTTCTCTACAAGTTCAAGAACTGAAGAATTCAAGAATTCAAGAATTCAAGTGTTCAAGTTCAAGATTTGAAGAAGTCAAGATCAAGTTCAAGATCAAATTCAAGAACGATCAAGATCAAGACCGTCGGATTCAAGATCAAGCTCGAAGCCCTTGAATTCAACTAGAAAGTCAAGATCAAGATAAAGTTCAAGTCAAGATCAAGTTCAAGTCCAAGATCAAGATAAAGTTCAAGTCAAGATCAAGTCCAAATCCAAGATCAAGATCAAGATCGAGATAAATCCAAGTTCAAGATCAAGCTCAAGAGCCCTTGAATTATATTTGAAAAGGCGAATTCAGAGAAATTATAGAGATTGTAACACTAACACTTAAATCAATAAAACGATTGTTGTATAATTTTTCGTTCTTGATTATTATTTTTTCGACGCAAATTTTATTGTCTATGCACTCATATTTTTTTAAGGGTATAATATAGTTATGTCGTGTGCAATTATGTATATAATTCATGGGCGTGATTACGGTATGTAATTTATTATGTCGTGTGCAATTATGTATATGATTCATGGGTGTGATTACTGTATGTAATGTGAATGAGGGAAAGGGAAAGTTAATTAGAAGTGAATTGGGCTAATAACACTTTTTATTGGTATGCATAAATTTTAATTTTATTTTTTTTTAATTTAAAGATTGGGCAGAGCCCATTTATTACAAATCAAAAGAAAAACTAATATAACTAAGGAGCTTGGGTCCAAAAGTGACCCAATCCCATGTAAACAACTACAAACAAAAATTAGAGAAACCCAGAAACAAAAAAGGAAAGTGACGGTCTTCTTCTCCCTTGGCATAGCAGCAACCTCACCGATCGATCTCTATCTTCAACACAAATTTTTGAATTTGAGCGACATCCATCCGGGAATTAACCAGTCTCACTAATGCCATGGATTCAAACTCTTTGAAGACTTTTTCAACTCAAAAGTCGTGTATCTTTTCCAAATCTAGGTAAGAATCAGGGGCGGCTCTATCCTTTATAAAATAAGGCTTACGCCTTAGGATCTCAAATTTTTATCAAGAGTAAATTACGTGTTAAAAATTTTATAGAAAAAAATGTTTTTTTATGATTAAAAGTATAATATTTTAAAAATATATTATTTTATCCACTTGAACATCTTTTGTACTTTGTTAAAAATAAGAATTAATAGTGAAAAGTGTTGAACAAAGTTAATTACAAATTCTTTTTTATTTATTTTTAAATTTTAGTTTCAAGCATTACGTCAAACATATTAAAATGGGATATACCAAGTCATCAACTTCTTGAGATTTTATGGTTCTAACTCTTATCTTTATTCAATATTTGTCAACTTATTACTTATAGAAATAAAATTTGAATAAATATGTATACGAAATTTCTTTATATTTTAGGCCTCGAATTGAAATTTCGCTTAGGCCTCGAATTACGTTGAATGGAAGCATTTAAGCTTGAAAAGCACCCTTAACAGGACGACTCACCCTTTGTTTCTTTATCCTCTGCAGATTGAGCTCAGAAAGCTAATACCATTGCATAAGGAGCTAGAGCATCAGGTAAGTCTTCCCTATTTGTTTGGACATTTCAAGAGAATAGCTTCAACAAAAATGCTTTTTTCTTCATGGTCTGAAATTTATCTTATATTCTATTCAAAAAATAATACTAATAACTCACATTTCTTTCTGTTTCTTTTATAATTGAAAACACTTTTAGATTTCATTATTTTAAACAGTTGCCAAAATTTGATTTTTTAAAAATAAAATTTCAAAAATAATAGAAACTATTAAAATTTGAATTTGATTTTTTGTAAGTTAAAGACAAACAATTACACTTAAAGGTATTTTAAGATTAAATTGAATTTTGTTTTGATGCTAGACTTTCTTCCTTTTACTTACAAATAGATGGAATTTGAATTAACTTTTATTTCTAATGTGAAAAATATTATTTTTTATGGTGATGACACGTGACAGTTTTTACTTTTCATATTATATATAACTAAAAGATATCAATTAATACATATTTTTCATAAGCGTGAAATTTTAAAATTATTGTTATTCTATATTTTATTGCTTAGAATTCTTCCATTGTCTAAGTTTGTTAACAATAATGTTTAGCATTTAATTATTTGCTCCATTTATGCCCTTTTTTTTTATCAAACAAAAAATATAACCCC